AGTATGCAGTACTGCACAACACATTACATGCCTAGATGAGCCCACAAGTAAGGGCTAAAACTATGTTATTAGTAGTAGTAGTGGTGGTAGTGGTAGTATTATTAGTATTATATAGTAGTAGTGACCTAGTGATAACTTTATTGCAGTCTAGTAGCTGGCTGAGAGTTTGAAACATCCCTACATTTCCGGATGATAGTGTTGGGAACACGGTTGAGAAGAGGAGATGCAGCTTTAAATAAATTACGGAAAGCACTACCATATCGGGCACTTGCCTTCAGAATAAGGGCACGACGTTGTGTAATATCAACTAACAGGACATACAATTAGTTTTTTTTTCATCCTAAATATCTTAAAACGTTAAAGTATATTTATATGCACACCAAATAGCCCACAACGGTGTATTTTAGGCTAAATCTAAACGTTTTAGCCGGACTTGGACTCTTATTTTGACAGCAGCGAGGCGGCTTTTCCTTCAGACCCACACAATACTTGTTCGTCAGAGAAGACGCTCTTCTGATGTCACTGAGTCCCGGGGGCGAGACTGGTCCTCCGCTATATAATCTTCCCGGCTCAGTGGATGAAACCAGCGCACTGAATCAGATACGAGATAAAGCAATTACACACCGAACAGACAAACATGGTGAAGATCACTTTACAGCCAGTGTCGGCGCAGAAGCCTGAAAAAGAGGTCGATGGACACAAGATCATTATACCTCAGGCTCACGTGAGTTTGCACACTTTTGTTTGTGTTTGTCTTGTGTTGTGGCATTTGTCCTGCGTGTCAGTATAACTCCTTCTGCACAGGTAGAAGATAAGTAGATTAACGTTAATCTGTTTATTCTTATCTGCAGACTAATGTTTGATTTGCCTGTCCATGCATCATCATGTCACTTAATTGTATGCTTGTAATCCATGATGAATGATGAAGTAATATATTGCATTTATGCTTTTTTTTTTTTTTTTTTTTTTACTATAATTTTTTAGTATAATGGTTAAACAATCACACTGCCGTTTATTATATTGCTCTTGCTGGCCGACAGTAACAGAGACTAATGATGTTACACTGTGCAGGCCATCCCCGCCTGGGGATGTTGACATTACGTCACCTTGTTTGGCCACCTCGAGGACACACTGCAGATGGCTGCCCTGTCCTGTGTGTGCGCCTTCAGCAGAATATGACACCATTACTCTGTGGTGGTTCATAAAGTATGCATGTATAAAAGGAACAGTCCCCCGTTTCTAAGTACAGGCGGCAGGCAGAGGCGCAAAAAGCCTCTTTTTTATACATTTTATATTAGTTTTTGTCAGATGAGAAAACAACAGAACTGTCAGATGCGGTCACTGCACCAGTCAGTGACGTCAAGAGGTGTTATGCCACGTAAATCCTGCAGGATGCGCCTGAGAGTGCAGGAGCCTGTGAGTGAAAATGGTAATCCAGGATTATCTTGTGTTGTATGTAAACAGTAGGCATTTTATCTGATTCCTCACTCAAATTGGCATTATACAAGGTTAAATGAAGAAGAGTTAAAATGTGTAGTTTTACTTTAGTAAAACTCAAGTTCTAGAGGAGGTAAGCAGTAGAGTGGCGTTAAATGATCAGGGGAGTTCATGAGATCATTGTGTTGGTCACTGGAAATTTACAGCCTGAAACTAATCTGCAACATGGAAGATCCCAGGTCCTTCATTTTCAGACTGCAGTTCTAAAACATAGGGCTCACCCAGTGTTACAATAATTTGAATAGAATAAAACTGTATTTAAAGTACTAAATGTTAAAGTAGATAGATAGATAGATAGATAGATAGATAGATAGATATTGTGCACATAATAGTATCTTGGTTGTTCCTCATATTATTGCTGAGTTATGATAGTAGAAAGGCTTAAATTGAATGTTTAGGCAGTCTGGCTTGTCACAATAAATTCAGCTTTTCTTAGCTTCCTTTCTGGACTACCTCCCAGGAGTTAAACATAATTAGAAATCTAGTACACACAATGTACGCCTGTCTACACCTCGTTCTTTTTTTCTTCCCCCAACACACTGTACACAATGAATACCACTTGGTGACGCATCCATCACTTCTGCAAACACCTTTCACCTGTTTGCTACGTCAAGCGAAGAATAAGACGTGATGTCAAAGGCTGTGTGGATTCAGATTGGCTGCGACTGTAGGCTAGGCGTCAGAGCCAATGTGTGTAGATCTATTAATATGTCCGCCTCTGCCGAGGGACTCCTGCTCTATGCAATTGTTCTCGTTTTTGACTCCCACTGAGGGCGCTAGCAAACTGCAAATATGGAGCGTGGAAGTAGGCCTCTAAGAATAGACCCAGACGGCCACGTGCCAGCGTCTTCGTCAGAGCCTGGCACAATCTGTTCTCCTTGCTTCCGCTCTCCATAGCAACAGTAGTAGGGAGAGGCAGCAGATTGACTGAGAGACTGTGGGTGGGCATCTGGCATGTCTCATTCCAGTCCGTCCTACGTCTACCAGATCTCCTCCTCTAACTAACGACTTGGCAACCGCCTCTTATCAGAATTGACTCTATTACGATTTGGACTTTAAAGCATGGCAGTGTGAGAGGATCATGTCTACTGATGCTCATACACCGTTATAGAACTGGATAGGACATTAAAACATCAAACTAAAATCTAAGATGTATTTTTCTTGCCTTCACCATTATATCAAATGGAAAACCATTTGCAACATTTTGCATATATTTTGTATAATTTAAAAACTTGTGGTCACGCCAAAAGTTCCGGTTCATACTACAATCTCCTGGCTAACTAGCTGACTTCTCCTTGTCAACCTTGACTTGTCCCCTAACCAATCTGCTTTTCTCTTTTCTCTTTACAGGAGCAGCTGGTTCTTCCTGTCAGGCCCAAGAAGCCTTTTCCAACTGGCCTCTGCTGTCTCACCTTTGGCCTGGTGGTCTTCATGTCAGGACTGGTGCTGGCCTCTATCTATGTCTATCGCTACTACTTTATACCTCAGGTCAGTTCACTCTACCTCCCTTTATTACATCATATCCTAAACCCAGTGGCACAGATTGTTAAGAACCTAAAATGTTTTAAAAACAGACAACATTCACATGTCACATGCTAACTCAGCTCTGTTGCGTACCATTAGCAGATCCCAGAAGACAGCTTGTTCCACTGTCGGGTAATCTACGAGGACTCTGTGTATGCTCCTCTGAGGGGTCGGCAAGAACTTGAGGAAAATGTCGGCATCTACCTGGATGACAACTACGAGCAGATCAGTGTACCTGTGCCACACTTTGGAGGCAGCGACCCTGCTGATATAATCCACGACTTTCAGAGGGTAAGGCAACCATATGCTAACTGGTTTCCTCTCATTACATTTTGTGTTTGCATTACATTACATTATTATAAGTGTTTTATTATGGCTTAGGTTTTAACCTGTATTTAATCTATTCCAGGGCCTTACAGCCTATCATGACATTGCTTTGGACAAATGCTACATCACTGAGCTGAACACAACCTTGGTGATGCCTCCAAGGAACCTGTGGGAGCTGCTCATCAATGTCAAGGTGAGGCACTCACTACGTTAGCTGTTGATGTCACTGACGAAGCCGTTGTGAGGGCATTGTTGGAGATGAATGGCTGTCGGAGAGAGTGAAAGACAGCATGTTCCCATCTTCCTGTCTGCAGTGTTCCTCCCACAGACAGATCGACTGATGAGTGATTCATTTGTGTCTCTTTGCCACAGAGAGGGACGTACCTTCCTCAGACTTACATCATCCAGGAGGAGATGATGGTGACAGGGAGGGTGAGGAACATGTGGCAGCTGGGCCCATTCATCCACAGGCTGTGCTACGGCAAAGAAACCTACCGCCTCAGACGCCGCAACCAGCACCGACGTGAGTACACACTTCCTGTTCCAATATGAGATGCTAAATAATGAGTGATGATGAGTGGTGGGGTCACTTCCGCTGATTTATCCCCCTCTTTCACACCCACCCTTGTGAGATGTTGAGTCTTGTGACGTGTGCTGGGTCACTGTGATCTCTCTGTACTCGAGGAGGAAAGTATTCCTCCGGTGAGTCACAGGGAATCCGGTGTTCAGTTTTGGTGTGTAGGAGCAGTGACCATGCAGAAAACAATGACAACCAGAACCAAATAGGGGCTTCCTATTTTAGACACTGTGTGTACAGTGTAAATCCTCCTCTAACAGCCTGGCAGTCTGATTCTCATGTCAGTGTGTGTGTGTGGGCACAGCCTGGGAACTTCCTGCTATGTGAGTCACTATTACAGTGGACACATCCACACACTATGAGGGTGGTAGTGATGCACATGAGCGATATCTCTGTCGTTGCTGCCTTTAATTGGAGTGAGATCTTTAGAAATGATGCAACAAACTTCCCCCTGAGTACATATATGGATGTAATCTGCGGGGATCACCACTGCTGATTCAAAATGGATGCTAGTGTAGGCATGGCAACTGCAGAAGTATAATGAACACAGCAATCTTACACTTTCAGTACTGAACAGATTTTCTAAATGTGTTGTCTTTTCTCTTCCAGGTATCGAGAGACGCGAGACAAAGAAATGTCATAGCATTCGTCACTTTGAGAACACTTTTGTGGTTGAGACTGTCATCTGCGACAGGGTCTAAATCTGAAGCGGAAATCACAGCCATCAAACACTGAAGCCAATTTCAAACCATACCTCTTGAATTCTTTAGGCTTTTAACTGCACTTTAAGAGCAAGTATTTGTCCAATAATTTGAGTTACAGTTTTAATGTCTGTTTGTTTCAAGTTGGAAATGCTCTTTTATTGTTCATGTACAATGTTAATGTCTTTTTTATTCAGACTGTCTGTATATTTGGATGATGTTATAAATGTTTGGATATATCTGTAGCTTGTCAAATTGTGCATCAGATGTTAATGTTAACGTGTGTCAGTTTGTGACATTTTCATCAGATGACTTTTATTTTATTTTTGTCCTTATTGTTATTTAGTAACCCAGTGTACTGTGGGTGATGGTAAGGATACTTGGGAGCTGCTTGCACTGTGCACTCAAGTTAATATTTTTATCTTGTTGTTATTTTATTTTGTTTTCAATGTCAGAAAATGGCAAAACATACCTCATGTAGTTTAGACGTTTCTTTGCTGGTTTATATCATTAATGAATGGTGTATATAACTTTGATTGTTCCTAAGCAATATATACTGTAAATTGATTTTGAACATATTGTTACAGGCATAGATTTTTATCTGAAATCGACTTGTTTTGTGAACATTTCTTTATGGTTTGTCTCTTTATTTCCTCTGGTACCACACTTTCCCCACTCCTTGGATATAATGGCTTTAGACTGTAATTAGTAGCAGTGCTTTAGAGGGACAGAAGGAACCAAAGTCTGCAGTCAGCAATGCTATGCTTATTGTTAAGGGTATATGAAATATTTAAAAAGAATGCTTTTTACTGTAGATGATATCAAAGGCTAAAACTCATTTTGTCTTGCTCTTCCTCCTCTTTACTTGGATTTGGCTGTTGTCTTTAGCTCTTGCCAGTTCCCAGTCTTTCCTATCTTGGCATTATAATCTCTACATTGTTAATTTGTCCCAACTTTAAAAAGATTTGGGGTGTCTTTCTAATGTACAACCAGGAGCAAATAAGTCTCTTTTGAGAGAGACATGTGATATGTGCTCATATTTAATTGTCTTGAATACCTTATTTTGCTGTACAGTCGATTTTTCTTGTAATATTTCACTGCTTTAAGAATAAATGATCAAAAATGTTTTGTCTTCTGAATGTTCATCAGTATCAGTTTCAGTAAAGCATACATGAATCTGCAAATGATGGGTTACAATAATAGGAAATTGTACACACAATAATATGTTAATATTGCAAAAAGGCAGCTAGTCTTTTAAAAAGGGAAACAAAGACTATTTTCCTCTGTTAACTTCCTCACAGCTAATAGAGACATAATGTCACTGGGACAAACGCACTGGCCTGATCTGTTCACCGGGACATGCATCACATATTTTAATACGTTGCTTATTTGGATGATTGCAGCTTCCTTGTGGTGAATGTAACACGTCACAGGATGAATCTCTTGTGGTTAGCTGTTTTTCATTTGAAAATGGAAGTAATGTTTATCTATTTATTTAATATACATGTCATGTCAAACTGTTGAGAAAAGTCAAGTAAAAGTAATAAAACTTAGAAGATAAAACTTAGAAGTAAAGCATATTGTGTAAAAATATAAACGTTCTATGGGTCAGTTAAACCTGTGCTGTCCTCCTGTCAACAACTTTGCTCTGATAAATACAACTTTTATATTTTATATATCACAGAAGAAGAACAGAAAAAACACTTGCAACAATCAGATCAAGAAGCCTCATTGCTTCACAATAACACATTTTACTGAACAATGACAGAAATGAAAATAAAACGGAATTGAGCACAAGCAAATAACACTGAAACTCAATAAAGAGGAGGCTAGTGCAAAATGAAAATATTAGGATAGAAGTAATGCAAATAAACCAAAAACGTGACAGGTTTCATATCTTGTTTCTGTTTTCAGAACACAGCTTTACACTCATTATTTTAAACAAAAAAAAAACAGCATTAATATACAATAAAACCCCTAATGGAGCGCTGTCTAGACTTATTGAAACCTTTCACTTTTACAACAAGGCCGTCTCTATTTAACAAAATAAGACAGAGAGTGGCTTAATGTACCGCATGTATAGCTTTCCATTTGGGTTTAGTTTTGACTGCATTCACATACATCAAAAGTGCTCCTGTAAACATACTAATATCAAAACTGTCTCATCAACAGTCTTACTAGTTCACAGGTCATGGTGACGGATATTAATAGATGGCTTTTAACAATTCTTCTAATATTATTGCACCTTTAAAGCTACATTGTAAAAATAAAAAAATATAAAATGATATGTAGATATTTCATGACCGACAGCATGTCACATTGTGGTGAGATTAAAGAAACTGATATGTAAGAACAAATAAAAACAGCTTGCAGTCGTAAAACTGTCAGCCGACCTTGCCTTATAAGAAATATAATCTGTAACTGAAAACGGTAATCTCCCTGAACATTTTTCTTTGATTTTCCATGAATAAGGTCAGAGAAGATTTCTAAAATATACAGACACGTTATACAGAAAACCTTTGGCCCTCAGCCATGGGCTTTATTTCTATAATGATTTACAGAACGGACACATAAATGTATCTTCTCTTCGCATCAAATGCTAAAAATTAACCATGTCAGAATACCCAAAAAGTTAAATCTATTTTAAGATGCAATATTCATAATTATTTTTTGTTAATCAATGATAGATCTGATGGAATACAAGTTAGTAATATTTCAATAACAATGAGTTGAAGAACCAATCTAAGAAATCATCGATAATTAAGATAGTAATGAAATGTTTTACTGTCAAACCTTTTAGTTTATAAAAATCTGATGATATTAAGAAAGTAATTCTAGATAATTATTAATGAATATCAAAGACTTACATTAATGTGTTTCATGATCCCAACTGGTTGGTGACTGTGAGATTTACAGATCATAATTTTTTAATATACTAGATAAGTGAATATGGAAATTAAAATCAAATTAATAGTTTAATTTGCTTAAGTTTTCATTATTTACTTGTTTCAAGTTGACTTTTTATGTATTTTATTGTGTTTTTTATTTTATATATGATGCTATATAAATAAAACCTATGATTATTATTATAATTAGATGTCTAACCAGACGTTTTACAATTTATATCAAATATCTGTTGAGCCGAACTGGTCCGGAATGTATCGGCCCTGATCTTACGTGGTTCTTCTGAGCAGCCTATGACATATCTTTGACTTGACTTTTAAACGCACACAGTAGAATTCAAACCTCTGCACACGTACCCCTTAATCAGTTTCTCACTCACTGTCTTTGTGTGGGACTGGATGACCTGAGAGTGCTTTCGAGCCATCTCACAAGGTTCTTCATTTAAGTCACACTGTGACTTGTTGGCAGATTTTCTTTTTGCAGTCTATGGGTAACAGATCTCTCTGAGGTTAAACAGGTACCTACCGGCTTCCTGTCAATGGACTAAATCATGTATCAGTGCTAGTCAAATCCTCTCCCTTAAGCTTTACTCTCAGCACTGTGGTTAATTGAGATTGCACTCTGACCTGTTTCCACCCATTACTCTTAACGCCACATTTTCCAATCAGCTACTGAAAACAGTACTGGCCCCTTTTTCAGTTTCATTGCTCTGCCCTAAAGTTCAAGATGCCAGCTCCAGTATTCTATACTTGCAGTCCTCTGAGGACAAATGATATATTTTAAATGTATTTAACTTTATTCCGTGTTCAGACCTCTGAAGTGCTGAAGGTGGCTCTTCTTTGGCTGATCATTGACAACCTGAAGCTGTTTCTGGGGCTCCTCACCTCATGAGCGATGAAGTAATAGCACAGAGCGTCCAGACAGCAGGTGATGTTAGACAGGCACAAGGATAATTGTAGGAACAGGCTGATGTGGCCCATGATGCTGCAGTCTTGAATCACTTTTTGGTGCACCTGGAATGGAAGACAGAGAAACATTAGTCTACCATACTTCCTATGTGCATGGGTATCTTAAACTCTTAGAATTACAGCAGAGGGGACCCAGCTGTTTAAACTGTTTCATATTCTTATCAGGCTTTTTTTTTTGAAGATGATCTCTTTAAACTTTTGCTTCACTTGTTTTTTTTTGGTTGCATTTGTCAGACTGTAATAAGGAATTTGTTCCAAATAATATCTCTTACATCTGAATAAAAAATGACACACACAATCCGAGTATCAGGGCACTAACTACTGAGACACTGAGGTTATTATGTGTCGCTTTCAATCTATATGAAAAACAGGTGCAAAATGAGTCTGCCAGGACGTCAGTGATTAGTTTGACTTATTTTGATACTAAATGTGCTTCATCATCTGCTGGTTAGATGCAGGTTTTTGACCTTTATGTAACATTTACAAAAAAGCAATATTTCTAAAATGTTGGTTACGCCCCTTCCGTATGCCTGTTGCTATAAAAGTTAAGTAGTTTGTTTGATTTTGTATAAAAACCCAGGCAGGAAGCGCTACTTCTGAGAGCGATGTAACACAAAGCGGGTACTCCTGATACACAAGCTGGCAAATACAGCCCATGAGAAAGCGACTTGTCATGAAGTGACTTGATAATCCACCAGTCCCTTTCTTGTGGCCATGTAGTATTTTGGAAGTCAGAAAAAAATAAGATTTGCGATTCTAAAGATTGTGTGATGGGTTCTACTAACTGGACCTTGAGGTGAGATTATTGTGTCATCTTTATTTGTACTTTAATCTTCATTAGTCTTTTCACTGTAGAGTTCAGTTTACTTAAAATAACTTGCAGCTGATCTCACCAGGAACTGCAGGAGGATGCCCAGGTGGCTGGGGGTGAAAGGCACCAGGAAGGCACTCAGACTGCTGTAGATGATTTTTACACAGGCCTGGCTCTTTGGGCTGTGCTGGCCGGACTGCTGAAGTGCACAGATGGTCTGGACTGAACAGAAAACCAGCACTAGCACAGGCACCAGGAACCCAAACAACAGCAGAGAAATGATCACCGCAGGGCTCCAGCCTTTTGTTGAAAAAGTGTGAAAGCAGTGGAAGTTTTTCTGCCCGGCCTCCCTGAAGCCACTCATGGTTAGGAAGATAACTGCCAGCACTACTACCCAGACTGCCAAGCAGGTCCCCAGAGCCACTTTGGGTGAGCGCAGTTGCTTGGCTTCAAACGGGTGACAGATAGCCACCCATCGGTCCACAGCTATACACATGATTGTGTAGATGCTGCCATATATCCCAACAAAATACAAGCTTTCCAAGGCTGAACAGAAAGGTTGGAGGTAGGCAGACCAGCGGTGATGGGTGGCGTACATTTTGAAGGGAAGGAGAAAGAGGAGGAGCACGTCCATCAGAGCCAAGCTGGTCATGTAGATAGTTGACTCCGTCCATTTTCGCAGAAAGACACAGAACACAAACAGCGCTGCAACATTGAGAATCAAACCAATGATGAATGTGGGGACATAGATGATCAGCTCCATATACCCCATCACTGAATCCACATATGGAAATGAACAGTTGCTTGCCATGGTGTTGCTGCTGCTGTTGCTGCTGCTGCTGCTGCTGCTGGGAAAATGGTTTGATTTGATTTAATTTCAAAGGCTCTGTCACAATTTCAAAATGAATCTGTCTTTCCTGTCGCTACTCTGTGTTCCCACACTGAAACATCTGTAAGATAAAGACACTGTGCCAAGCGACTAGAAACCTGTCAGCTGTGTGGGTTCACTAGCTGTGAACTTGTTTTATGTATCTGGTTTCTGAACCACAAACAGCAAGAGGACATCTTTTATATTAGTTTAAAACGTTGTAAACAAATGCTTTGCAAGTTAGACTGCGCGGGAATTTATGTTTTCTACCTTTCTGATACTTTTACTTACTTTGTGAGGCAGGTGTGTAGGAATGCAGAATGTTTGTGTCTAATTAAATTGGAAATTACAAAGATTTAAAAGGAAATAGCTTTTCTCTATTAGATTAGGCACATGCAGCAACATGGCATTTACAGTGAAAACTTAGCTACCACCACTCTGAGGAGAGAATAATTACAGAGAAAGACCTAACATACAATATTTCTCAGCTCTGTTGCAGTTTTTCTAAAAACATTTCAAATTCATCCACCTTTATATCTGTCCTTTATACTCATTCCTTACTTATTGTATATTTTCTCATTTGAGCAAATTAGCAATGAGTCAAGAACACCAAGATCTGGCTTGTAATTTAAACATTAAACAAAAGTGCCACACACGTTTGGTTCATTATTGAAAACTAACTGACGTTGTTAAATAGTCTAAGTGTCTTGTGCAGTGGAAAATGTGAAATCTTGTGCTCTTACCTTACGGATGCCAGCTTCTCAGTCAAATGTTTCTGTCTGACTGTCTGCACTGTGCCAGACACACTTCTGCTTTCTCTTTGTTTCATCACCACTTCCTGAGTCATGCCACACAACATGCATGTGTGTTCAAATATGCATTATAGCCGTTGGAAATCAAAGTCGAGGCGAATTCATCCAGCAGGTCTCAGTATTATATGCGTTTTAAAGATACATGCATGTGTGCTCACTGCCAGCGGCTACTGTAGAACAGAAGATTTCATTTGTATTTATAACATCAGAGGAAATTAATAGTATGAGTAATACTCACAATTATAAATATAGTTTATTTATTTAATATAGTTGTGTTTTAAGAGCTGAGACATGTTTCACAGAATAGGAAATACAATAATTAGAGCTAAAATAATTAATTAAATGTAAAATGTTCAGTTTTATATCACTGTAAACTGAGTAAACTAGTAAAGTACTAAACAATTTATCAATTGATAAAAAATAACACGCAAATAGATCGATAATGAAAATAATTATTAGTTGCAGCCCTAAAAATAAAACCACTCACAACCCAGTGGCTCTGGAAGGCTTTTATTAGGCATAGAGGTACTTTAAGCTAAATGCTAGTATGCTCACAGTGGCAGTGCTAACACGGTGATGTTTCACAGACTAACATTTACTGTGTTCACCATCTGAGTGAACATGTGAGCGTGCTAACCTTGGCTAATTAGTACTAAACACAAAGTACAGCTGAGGCTGCTGGGAATGTCAGTATCCTTGCAGGTAATTGGTCATAAAGTATTGGATACATTTTTTTTTGTTGTTCTTAAAGAACCGTGAATGTCTGAACACAACTTTATCTCAATCCATCCAGTGTGATGGGCCAACAACCACATCCCTAAAGATTATAGCTCAAAGACTAAAAAGCCAAATATCAAAAGCAAATACAATCTTAAACAGGATACATAAAGGAACATTGAGGAAACTGTAGCATTGACTAACACCACGGGTCTCCCATGAGTATTTATGTGGTTGTGTTATCTCCTCAGACTGGAATTTCCATCACTATATAAAGATTAAATCACACAGGCTGTGATTGTTCACTGCATCTTGTGAACATAGGTGTTTACTAAACTTCGTGTATGTTGAGATGATTATTTTTTTTACCATTGATCGTGAATAGGGTGAAGAACATGGTTGTTGAAACGTGTAAAGAAAAGGCCTGAAGCAGGTGACTTTGTATTTCTATTTGTCTTGTTTTCGTATTTATTGATTTTTTCAGGTCAGACACTAGTTTGTTTATAGTCAGTTTCCGATGTACTATACTGTGGTTTCTGTACTCAGATTGTTATTAGTACTGGTATTAGTCGGAGAGTGTGGCTTCCTATCTCAAAAAAAAGACTGAAAACAAAGATTTCCAGACGGTCTTTCAAGTTCGTGAGATGTTGCAGTAGCAGATTTAGACTGTGATTAAGTTTGAGGGTTTCCTGGTTTCAGGTGCTGAGATGACTTAACTTTAGTGTGAGAAAGTGTTTGCCTCTTTTATCGTAAGCTAGGTGACATGCTAATGATGATGTTTGTGGAGAACACAACACAAAAGTTGTACCAGATAAATATCTTTGAACTGGAATATATCAGAAAGGTTTAGAGCACATTAAGGTAAGATGTCTTTTTGGAAAACCATAGCCTTTTTTGTCTGTAAATGAAAGTGAAGCTGCCTGCCAGCTACACTGTCACCTACTATTTTGTGACTGAAGTGAAGCCGATTGTCTCTAAACACAAATCTATTCTCACTTAAAATTAAATACGTTTTGGGATCTTCAAGGCTTCGGATTGTTTGTTTTGTAAAGTTATTAGAGACCAGTGTTGGGCAGTAACTCATTACTAGTAACAATATTACTTTTCCCCAGTAACTAATAACAAATACATTTCAGTAACAATATTACAGTTACTCCTCCAAAAAGATTTGTTACAATATTACTTTTGTTGTCAACTTCTACTGATTTTACATCCAACTATCCAATTACATCCTTGGATTCATTTTTGTAATGGAGGAGGAAACTAGTCTGGAAGATGGAAACTTACATTCAGCAGCTGGAAATATTACATTACTTTGATTTTAACAAACAAAACTGGGTTTTAATCGTCATAAGTCTGAATTTTGGGGAGAAGGAACGCAATTACCACCATTTTATTTTGTGGGGAGTAGCAGAAAAGTAATACAACTAGTAGTGTAACTAATTACTGTTGGCAGGGGGTAATAAGTAAAGTAAATATATTACTTTTTAAAGGGTAATGATTAATATATTAAATGTGTTGAGTAACTATTACCAACATTGTTTGACACACACACATTTTTACCATTAATGTTCGCTGCTGCATGTTTTTATATTTAAGTAAATGTTGCACTTGATGATTTTGTATCAATATATTTTTTTATCAAAAGGTCACAAACTGTTTTCCATAAAATAGCTTAATCCTAACTGACTGACTTGGGTATAATTATATATATATAAAATCCTCTATAATTATCATTCTGTTGTGTTGACTCAGTGGTCATGTGTAAAAAAAAAAAAAACTCCACATGGTACTCACAGAAGTTTGGCATGTGATTTATTGTATTTATTTATTCAACTTGAATCTTGAACAAAATAATTGGGCAGTGACATTACCATGGCAACATCCAGCTGTATAGCTGGGTACTGAGGACTTTGAGGCGTATAGAAAAACACAAAATAATTTTACTGAAATAAACCCCCCCCCCCCACCTGCAAATAAAACAACAAAAAACTACAAACACTCAGTTGAGTGCAAACACACATTCATCCTTGCTTGAACTGTATATTTGCTTTGCAGGTAGAACAAACAACCCGACTACCCTGTTTACATTCATTGAAGAATCCTTTTTAAAAATGTTTTCTTCTTTTTTTGACTCTACAAATGTTTGTTAATGGTGCAACACAAACTTAAAGACTTGTACACGGGTGACACAGGGGATATTTTAGAAATAGTTTTGGCACAAGGTGAAGTCATTGTGAAAGACTAATAAAAACCTCATTTAGGCATGTAAATCTAAAAAATACCTATTAGACACAGACTAACAAAAGCACATACACTTCATGAACAAATAAAAGCAAACACATACAGCATGCTTCACATCAAACTCTCAACATAAGGGAAAGACTATCAGGAAACAAACAGCCCACAAACATTAAAAACCCCTTTAGAGCGTGCATGTAAGACCTTGAAAACAGCTGAACAAAATTAAAATGACATGGACATGCTACGATTTCCACTGGAAGAGCCAGCCAGTTTCTAACATCACACCTTTAGTAACAAGTGGACACGTTGAGCAACAATTAGAGCGAGTTTACAGGAGTAACAGTCAGTCAGGGGACCTGCCACAATTTCTTAGCATCTATGGCGAAAGACACAAATTCATGGTTGAAAGAAAGACGAGGGGTGAGTTCGGAGATTGAGATGACAGGCACAAGAGAAAATGTTTTCACACTCATGGCATACAAACACACACATGCATACACACACAAGATGGGATGCATTGACTTTAGGAGGTGGTGAACTTCCTGAGTGTGATGACGATGAGGGCAAGGAGGACAGACGCTCCCAGGAAGACTGCTATAACAATGGCTGTGATGGCCCCTGGCCCCAGCACCCCTGCATACACACACACACACACACGCACACACACAGGAAGAGATGCAGTTTTAACCATCTGAATACACAAGATTGACACGTATTTGGTGACTCAACTGATCAACTGTCAGCTTTACCTTCCTCCTCCTCCATGGCCTGGGAGTGTGTGGTGTCCTCGTAGTCGAAGGTGAAGGGCTGCTCCGTTATACCCTGGAAAGGGTCTTTGGTGGTGATGTCACTGGGTGGCTCTCCAGACATGGTGTCCTGGTTGTCCCTGGTTGTTGAGACCGGGTCTGCATCTGCCTCTGCAGACCAAGAAATAAAAGCAACTTAATCTATGATAGACAAAGACTGCCTGCTGTGCAGTACCGACTTATAGGATGTTTCCTTAAGGCAGTAATTTCACTGATGGGGCCCACTGCTTTGCTAATGACTCTGTCTGACCCTAACCCTGGACGCTGAGGCCTCTGGGATGCAGAGCTGCATACATCGCCCCGTCTGTAATGACTTAAACAGCCTCTCTCTGTCTCACCAGTTCATTCCTGGGCATAGGGAAGTCTTTGTAGAGGATGGACATTTTGTCCGTTTGAGCTACATGTGGCTTCTCCACGTTTCTCTTTTGCCTAAAGGTTCAACCAAGTTTGTCTACTGTATAAAGAAAACTGTCCTTCAACCAAGGTTGGGTTAATTATTTCGGTGGAGTTGTATATATTTTATGCTTCAGCACGAACAACTTGTAGGAGAGGCGGTGATTTGCTGTGCATGAAGCTCAGGTTTCCTTTACAACTCTTTGCTTCAACTCTACAACTCTTCCGCTGCCAATCAATCGTCTGTTCTCGTTCCATCCCAAATTGTCCTCTGACATTCCTCTCATGTGAGCACGAAGCCCCTGAGACTTTTCACACCTCCACAGGAGCCAGGGAAACAAAGTCTCTTTCTAGGCCACATTTCTGTTTCCTAACACAACTTTTAGCCTCTGGAAATGCTCAACTGAACCGTCAAACCACCAAAATTAGTCTATGATTGTGGTCGCCGCCATCTCAATGATAATTGAACGGCTGTGTAGCTTTTCTTTTGAAATCCAAAGGAAAAGGAGGAAAATTTGATCTTCATCGCCCCTGAAAAACAAACTCTTCACACACAAGCCCACCCACTCACTGATTCACTTATCCTATCCTCAACTCTACGCATACCAACAAAACCGTAATCCAAACATATTTACACTCAGCTTATTTAACGCTACATATTTACTTTGTAGCCCCTGATGCCCTCAGTAAACTCCTTCACCCTGTTTTACATCTTTTCTATGTCATTATCAAAGGATTAATCTGTCAAGTACAGCAGAAAAAACATGACACTATTACTAAGAAACTAGTGAAAACGATATAATCTCAAATCTTCTACGGTCGCATATTAGCTGGGATATCTTCTAAGTTCTGATATGGACTTCTGGTGTGAGTATTTTGATGCTGTTGTGTTGACTCTGAGTCGTGTGCAGCTTCCTGTCCTGTAGCTGGCTGGAGGTTTGGAGGACCGGGCCTCTGGCCAGCTCAGCCATCAATGAGGCCTTCAACTGAGGGCACAAAAGGCAGCTTGTGCGGTCACGGAGGGCGGCGGGCTGCAACCAGTAACAACCGGCCAGGCCCAAACCAGGTCCCGGCTGGGCACTGGATGTCAAACAAACTTGTTTATTAAATAGTCCCTGTGTGTAAAAGGCTGCGCCTTTCTGGACAGCTTGGTTTAATAAGAAGGCAAAAAATAATAACATGATGTTTTCCGTTGGCGTTTGTTTCCACAAGGAGGGGTTTACTCAAGCTTGAAATTTCTGTCTAATGGAATTAGCATAAAAAAAAAATCTTCTCAGCTGACAGCTTAACGCGAGGTTGGTGGTTCCCGACTTCTGTTGTTTGATGTCCCCCCACAGCCCTGTCAGATGAGTCCAAGAACCCCTTCACCGACACCATACACCGACTTAACTGTTTATCGATTACTTTCATCAGTTTTAATTATTTTTTAGCTAACTGTTCCAGCTCTTTATTTATTACTAAGCTTGTACAACTATCCATTAGTTTTAGCTAACTATTTTAGGGGATAGCCCATTGTTGACATGGCCTGTTACTCCAAAACCGCAATAGTCCAAAAACGGTCCCGTTGGCTGGTTGTTCCGTAAACACTCTGCCAGGAGTTTTTTGTCCAGAATCTAGAAACGGATTTCAATATGCAAACGCCAGGTGACCTTCTTCATCATGGTAACAATAATAAACGTGGTTGTGAAAGGATTGCAGTTAGGATAAGTTTACTTAAGGCTTAATTACAAGTTTTGTATGTAAGTTAAGTTACATACATGGAATGAGTTAAATATGTTTAGTTATACCAGATTGGTACTTTGGGAGCAATGGGGCTTCAGAGCAATGGGAGTTTGTTTTCGGCATAACAGGCTGTGGAAAAATGGCATGACACCCTATTTTAAATGTTTATCTTACTTTCATCTATTTCAGCTGTTTGTCTTACCCATGCTTTAGCAAACTATGTTAAATGTGTATTCATCACTTAAAACAAACTAATTTAACTGCTCATCTACTACTTTTAGCTGAATATTTCAACTCATCATCTCGTTCTCTTACTCATTTTCAAGCATCAACAGTAACACATGATGTTAATGTGCTGATTTGGTTATTAAGTTTACTTAAGATTAATGACATCACATTTTTTATCCTGTTTAATTTCCCCTTTCACACAAATATATATTGACAATGATTGGAATTAAATCACAGTTTAATATTTTTTTGGTGGGGTTAATTGACTTCATTGGTTTTAATTAGTTTAGCTTTCTACGGATCACCTGACCTACAGGAGTAGCCCCTACCCCTAGTTGGATCACTGCACTAATTTATACTTTTTAAAGACATGACTCCACGTGTCAATCAAGAACCCTCCTTCTCCATACACAAGTGCAGACTCATAAAAACCTGGCAGACTGTAGGGAAGAGTGATTTCAGACACTAAAAACACAGAAGGCCATTTGTTGGTACCTCAGACCTTCACTGAGGATTTCACACCAGCCAGAGAGATGACAAAGTGCGCAGACGGGTCTGTGTGAAAAGCAACCTGGCCAAGCATTGAAAGGGCAAGCGACGCAGCCCAAACATGACATCGGCAGTGTCATGTGTCCTTGCTTCACCCTCTTTCGCTTACACATGTGGTGGAGACATTTTCCTTAGTAAAATATTTGACAAATCACCAGTGTGTCTTGGATTTTATTCTGAAACGAGGAGAGAAGGAAGGATAGTTACAGAACTAGTGGTGAACCCTTGTCTGTATTGCATAGCGAGGCTCTGTGTTGCTCTCATTTAATCATGTCAGCCATTTTGAGGAAGATAAAGTAAAGAGTGTGAGAAATTATCACACTTTTTTGTTCTAGCTTTTTGTTTCACACATCGGTTTGTTTCCTAAGCTGAGTCAACCGCTGAGCTGCATGTCATGCTGGTTCAGTCACTTGGTTGGTTGTTGCTGTGGTTAAGATTGATAGCATAAACATCATATAATGTACTTGGAAACCACCGAAGGGACAGATGAGACGCACTGCAAAGGGCAGAATCAGTGTACAGGCAAGCAGAACCCAATTGTCCACATTTCTCTACAAATCTATAATTCTGAAGCCTTGAAGCTTAGATGATCTATATCTGTGGTCCATCCAGGAAAAAAAACCCTGAGTGGCATTAAAAATATGCAAGAGGAGGCCGCAAGATATTTTTAGAAAGGTGAGGGCAAGTTACAGCGCCTCAGTAGGTTTTGTGTCCCATGTAAAAGGTTTCTTTTCCCACAGGACAGTGAAGACATCATCAACGTGCTATATCCCTGTCACCCAATCGCCCCCTTGACCTCTACTCTGACCTCTGGGCCTGGGAGCTGCTCTACGGTTTTTTTCCAAGTTGATTTGAGAGTAAAAGAGGAACAAGGAACAGACTAAAATAATTGAAAGTGAAAGAAAGACCTAAGTGCTAATCTCTCCAACCTTAAATAGCCCTCATTCTGGGAAGCAGTTGATGTTCAGCTGTTTCCTACATCACAGAAAATGTGCACAGATTGTTTGTCACACTACTACCTCCCAAATCTGTCCACATACATGAAATAAACTCAACACCTGTGGACATTTCACTACCTCAAACTGATACGACACAGAAGCACTTTATAACCTTTCTAACTGGAGTCAGAGGGCAGCAGGTATTCAGTTTCATAAGAACATCAGGCATCATGAAAGGAACTGAGTCATCCTGTTTGTCAAAGAGCAGCTTTCACGAGTCTCTGAGCCTCAATAACTGCATCATTTACATCACGCAGCAGACTCAAACATACAGGTCTGTGAATGTGTGTGTGTGGTGTTAAATGACACGTACACACACATCTTTGGTTTGATGCCTACAGAGGACCAAACATCAGCCCATGAATCACATACAGCAAGATAAACAGTGTTTAGAATAGAAAACCTTGAAGCTACTTATTCTAAAATGTTAAGGACACACACACAAAAAAGATCTGCAATGATTTAAAATAACCACATTTTTCTAGAACAAACAGCTACTGACTTCTTTTTTCATTCACCTTTCTCCTCACATCACACCTCTCATTTCCAGGCTGACAGCCGGATGCTTTTTTTTTTTTTAAATAAATCATACTGTGTTCCATTTCTAGCCTAATTAGTTGCACAACACACCGGCGAGGTTGCATACATGTTACCCAACCCACAGAAATTAAATAAAAAATATGAATCTCACTCAAAAAGGAGGTTTACCTGTGTGTACAAAGGCTACCATGAGGCCTAGGAGCACCAGGAGGAGGAATCTGCAGATACTGCTGCTGTGAACCATGGTGGCTGCGGAAGGATGAGCGTCAGACAGAGCAAAGCGTCTCCAAAACCCCTCGAGTAGTAACTTCAAACGAGTAACTGACCCCGGGAGAGGAGCGGGAGAAGAGTACAGGGGACCGCAGGAGGGGAGAGGTAGGCAGCTGAGGGGGTGAGAGAAGGGGTGGGGACTAGGTGTGCACAGGACTGTCTGGACAGTGTGGACTTTGTGAGCACATCATCGCAGGGCACACCCACTCCAAACTCCTCCATCCACATAGTTGGGCGTGAGGGGTAAACATTCGGTAGCCGCTGACCTCGGCCAGGTCACAACACGAAGGTCTCTGCAGGACATTTTTATGCCTTTACTCTTGAAGGAAAGAAATCTAAATGTGGCAGTGGAGGAGAAAGTATTGAGGTCTGAAAGTACCAATATCTATATGCAAGTAATACTCCAGCAGTTCACTTATTGCACTCCTTTTGGGGGATTTCCAAGAACTTGTAGGTGCTGAGCGCTGAATTTAAGTACCCTGTGTCAGCCCGTCTAAGATTTTTGGGTTCTACATTTCCTTAATGCAACTGGCCTGAAAATCAGACTGAAATAAAAGTTTCACTTCATCCATTCACCCTGACCATTATTTTCATTTCATGTTTTCATTATAATAAAAGCAATATTTGCCTAAATGAAAGTACAAAGTAACATCAAATTCACATATTCAAATAAAGTACCCCATAAATGTACTTAAGTACAGTAACTGAGTTAAAGTACTGCACACTTTATTATTTTGTTGCTCTGAGAATCAAGTCAAGAGTGTTGTGTGAGCCCGTAGCCTGAGACAATAAGGGTTTGGGTTGGTGCTATGGGGCATTTTGCCAAACTCATTTTTCTTCTTACCCGGTTATTTTGGGAAGTCCTAACAGATTTCACTGCTGGTAGTTAAGAGTTTGGTTTCAGTATGATGACAATCAATGTGTGTGCCTAGAAATATATCGTCATTATTCATGTGATAGAATTGGTGACTTTCGTTTCCTCTTTGTGAATTTGAAAACTCCTATTTGGTCAAATATGCACTACAACCAAGCCGTGAGAGGATGAGCTTTACTTCCTGAAAAATACCGTTAAGAGCTTAACATTTGTTTCCCCACTGTGGAGAGCAGTCTGACATTCTGTGGGAAAATGCATTTTGTCTGCTTGGCAGAAACTATGAATTCAAAAAATAAGCATCATATATGTACCAGGTTTAACAGGGAAAAAAGCATGTGATATGATTACTCATTCGCAATTTTCTATCTAAATTCTTAGCATAGCGGGATTTAAAATGTTCCTTAGTTCATTAACATTATAAATGCAGATACCTGGCTTCCCTCTCGTGTTCTCTTTAATAAGCAGCAAAGATTAATTTTCATTTGTCATTTAGAGCTCTTAATAGGATCTCTGTAAAATGGGATTGATTGCAGTGTGACCGGGTGAATGCGGGTGGATCAAATGAATTCTGCACATTTGTGGTTTTTCTGAATAGTTCAGACACAGGTGTGAACAGCCCACACATCAGACTGTTTTATTATTTCATACTGCAATAAAAAAGTATGACTCCAGCAGATCATTTTCATATATTATAATACAGATGCAGAGAATTGAAAGTTTATTCTTTAAACAGCCTAGTATTTTACAAGAAATAGATAACTACTTGGAACTTTTGAACATGTCCTTAAAACAGGACATAAGTGGGCACGAATCCTTGGGCTCTACTTTGCCGTCATTATCCATGAACACCCAGCAGAAAACAGGGAGGGAAAAGAGAAGGTGGGGTTCGGGGATTAAAGTGTGAGGGGAAAACTTTCAATAAATAAAACAAAAACAATGGATATAATCTTTCTAACCTTTCCCATAATACTCCAACCAACCCATCCACATATCCCCACTTAAAAAAAAAAAAATCCCATACCACAGAGGCCAAATTTGAAATTTGTCGTCACTGAATTTCTACAACAGGACATGATTCAGGACCGAGCAGCCGATACCCAACGGACATCAACGCCCCTGCAGACTTTCTCCAGAAACTCAGTTTATCTGGTGATTGCTCTCCTGGCTGGTCGGTTTTTTCACTGGCCAGTTTGCTCCAGTCCATTTTTCTCTGGAGGGTTTTCATCAGATTATAGGTCCACAAGCAACAGGAACAATACACCCCGCCTCAGAGATCACTGCTTGTTCACAATTAGGAATTTATGAGGGATTACCAGAGTACGTCTGATAAATGGGAAACTGAAAATAAAAAGGTGAAAGTTGTGGAAGCAGTCGAGGGGCCGTGGCAGGGGTTTGGGTAAAACAGCTGCTGTTCAAATAGGATACAGTCAATGGGGGTTTGCTTGGCTGAAGTCCCTTAAAAGTCTTCCAAAGTCTCAATCTCTCCCATATTCAATCTCTCAGATGACGCATTCACAGAAAAACCTGAAAATGTTAAAAGAAGAAAGACACAATCAGCAGATGTGACATAAAAAGAAAGCAGTGACACATCGTTGCAGACTGTTCTGATTCAGCAGGTGGATGTTTGCTCTCACCTAGAAGGCTGGGGTCTGCGCGGACCATCTTCTGCTTCTTTTTCTTCTTCCCTGAGGTGACGGTCTCAAAGCGCTGCTGCTGCTGACCACTCGTATGGTTGGACTGGTAGAGTGACGAAGATCCTGTTCCACCCCAAACAGATTCCTGGGCAATATAGAAAGGTGGATTTAAAAGTTGTTCTGTTAAGTTGTGGTCTTTCACTCAATATGGTCCCAGTAAATACCAATTTCATTACCACTACCAATTCAAATCATTATAAAACAATCATAATGAGATGCAGAAGGGGACTATTTACATTTTGTCTTTTCAAGATTGCACGGACTGAGCCACGTTTATCATTATTCAAAGTTATGTGGATATTAATTTTCTGGTATTGATGACAAAACATAGTACCAGATATTGTCACCAACAACCGAATTAGATGCGTCTTTACACAGAATTTATAGGAACCATTACTGGCAATTATTCTGCTCTCTGCTTTGATTTATTTTCCTCAAATCAAATATTTTGTTGTGCACTGTAGCGGTCTCAAGTCAGTGAGAAGATTGAAAGATAATGCTGCCTTCAGTGCTCACAGTAGGTGTGGGCAATATGGGTACAATCCTCCATAACAGGATGTGTGATATACATGTTGCAAACATTTAAAAGTCTGCTCAGTGATGGAGGACTGCCCACATTGGCCTGAATCTCTGTCAGCAGAAACATGTACATTATCTCATGGTATATATCATCATATTGCCCAAAACAGACACCAGAGTCAAGAGTACGTCAATTTAACAAGACAGATCTGTTTCGCAAGAGGATCACATGGACAGATTTGGCTCTTTGTTCCCATAAGGAAACAAGGAATAAGCAGTGCAATTACACATTTGGGGCTGATCCAAAGGGGTGACGCAAGAAAGAGTCACAGAAGAAATGTAAATAAGTGGTTATGGATGGAGTATGACGGCACTGGCTATGTCAGATGACTTGCTCTGATTGGTCTGAACCTGCCAGGCAGAAATGCGTGAGTGAGTGAAAACTATTTTGGGGCAGCGAAAAACGACAGATGTCTCTATTTTAGATCAGATTATAAAGACTCGCGTGGCTTTTGTGAGGCAAAATGGGACCAAAACATTTGGTACCCATATGCTGAGCCTTTATCTCGCTGGTACCACTTCAGTCTCGCTGGTACCACTTCAGTCTCGCTCACCTGCTGCTGCTTGAGGGCTTGCTGTTGGATCTGCGGTGCCGGTTTCTGTTGGTTAGCGTTCTGTTTGGCACGACGTTCCAGGAACTGCTTGGCAAAGTCCTTGGCCTCGGGAGTGTCCCCCAGATAGGCCCTGACATAGTCGTGCACCTCGTATGGAGAGTCCACTTCTTTCAAGAAGGATGCAAACGTTGGAACTGGCAGGAAGACAGATGGACAATATTTTTAAAATTTGGCTTCTAGAAATAGTCCATCAATAGTGGTGGGCGGAGTGTCTTTGCCAAACATATTTTTAAAGTCTTACCATCCAGATTGTTGGCTGTGTTGAGGGTGTGCAGAGTTTGCTCACACCATTGCATGAAGGTGTCCTGCTGACTCTTACTAACCCCCTGAAACAACTTTAGCAGCTTCTCCTCCTCTTCTACCTTCTTATTGGGCCGCCCACTCACAGAGTTACTTTAAAAAGCGCATACAAATGCAAGAGGAAGACAAAAATAAGTTTGTAAGATGTTCGCATTACTCATATCCTTCACATGGTATGTCACGCTCTCATCGGAGGTTGTGACTAAGACGTTTTTATTTATTTAGGCATTCTTAATAAATACCTGAGGTTGGCGTTGCCTTTGTTGTTCTTCTGCGTGCTGCCTTTCTTGGGCTGGGGAGGTTGCTGGACAGCCTCTTTCACAGCCTCATCCCAGAAGCCCATGTTAGAGTTGTGGGTGTCACCCCAGATACTGCTGGAGTCTGAGCCCCAATTAGTGCAGGAGCTGGTGTTCACAGACCCCCACACTGAGTTACTCAGAGACGGCTGTGATGAGAGTGAGATACTGTTACTGACATAACACTTGTTTCTAGGGCAGCAAGTCACAATTCATTTCATAACTAATTAATCTGCCAATTACTTGTCCAATTAATCAGTTGTTTGGTCTATACAATTTTAAAACACGGTGAAAAATATTTGTCACAATTTCAGCTCAGTGTGACTATTAAAAGTGGAGTTTTTAACTAATAATTGGACAAAATATGCAAAGATATACATTTTTCTGTAATGCACGGAAGGAATACAATACAGCTCAAAAACTGAACTAGGACTAGAACTGGGGAATGTTTTTCATTTGCGCTTGCCGAATCATTTTCTGCTGTTACTGAGCTGCATTAAGCTGAAAACTGCATTAAGCAATATTTTAAATATCAACATTGAATTTCTGATGTCAAAATGTCGCTGTAGTGCTGAATCCCCTAAAGACCCACACCCAACTCTGTGGCTCTATGTAGCTCAGTTTCAGTATCGTATACACATGTCACGTACAGTTCTGGTTTGAGGGCGGATCTGTTGGGTGACAATGGGGTGTT